AGAGTAGACTACAATGCCGGCTGTTCTGACTCACAGTCTGTAAGTACGTTTTCATATTTAAAGAATTTGCCACTGATGATTCAAACGCGAGTTTTGAGCAGTGTAGAGTAGTGCTTGTTGTTTGTCATTTCTCCGATCACAAATGCAGACATGGTTTTATGTTTAAGCGACGCGATGCAATGCAACGTGTAAAAAGACAGTATAAGTCATTATAATCTGTAATTATTTCCCCACTGGATGCAACAAATGCCTAGTTTGTAATGGGTTTTAATGGCTTTGACTCGCCGCTCCGGGACACGGCATCACAATATGGTAAGGGGCGTAACATTTCCGTCACACGCTTGAGGTATTCGGCCAATCACAACGCACTGGATAGCTGACCAATCAGAGCACATCTCGCTTTTCAGACCGATAAGATTTGTAAAAATCGACGTGTTTCAGAAAGGCAGGGCATAGAGGAGAAACAATAATGTACAGTATGTGGAAAATAATGTGGTTTTTTTAACCTTGAACCGCATAAACACATTTCATTACACCAAATACACAAAATAATGTTCTTTTTAGCAACATCATATGACCCCTTTAAGAAATGTGCATTGTGCACAAGTAGTCCAAATAAAGTTTAATTATAATTTTTATATCAGTAAGTCTCAAGCTATACGTCAGTAAATATGTTAATATATTTGAACTATACTTGGTATGAAATAAATGTATTTTAAATATATTACTTTTTAACTAGGTGTTATTAGTATACTTAGTATATTCTATATATTTGGACAGCTACTCAGCAAGTGAATCAACAAATACAGCTATCAAGAACATGAATTAATTTTAAATAGGTGAGTTCATTTACACAAACATTTCTAGAGGTGAAACTGCAGTGTTTCATTAAAACCAAATACCCATTTGAAAGTTGTTTGAATTTTATGCTCATTATACCAAAGATGAAAACTAAAGCAGTTGCAGAAATTTAGATTTACCTGTCTTTGCTATCAAAGGCCCTCAAATTCAAAGCGATTGTTGGTGTGTCTGCTTGTCAGTCTTGTCGTTGTGTTGTGCATGTGTGGGTTTGATTGAATTCACATTCAGTGAGGCGGCGTTATATTTCTGCTCGCTGAGGGCCGTCTATCAGAGCTGTTTAATCTTAGTAATTACCGTGCTGAAATATGAAGCCGTTTCAACAGCCTCTTCTCCACCATGCACACACTTCACAGGTAAAAACCTCCTCTAATACCACCAAAATGTTATTAAGTGGCTCTGACCTCCTGTCCCGCTTTCATGGGTGACAGCCAAATAGCCCCTGTGTTTGCAATAACAGCGAGGTCTTCACTTCAACTGATCTCTTCCTGTCAACAGGACCTTAATCAGGCAGGATGGAAACACTAATGAAATCATGGGATCCTCTTGAGACTGTGGAAACTCCTCCATCAGCCCTGCCACTGTTAGCCACGCTGTAATTGAAACAAATGTGCCAATTAGGCCATTCATTTCTCACATCGTCTGCCACACATTTACCAAGCTAATTTGTATTTGTCCCCTACTTTTCCTCCTCTTACTCCCTCTCTACTTCTATCATGTTTTTCCCCCTTCGTTCTCTCTTTCTCCCTCTCCTCTTCATGACTGTGCTCTGCATCTTTCAAAGGCTGAGGGGAAGTGGTGCTCAAGAATGCAGAGCATGGCAAATGCCTCAACAGAGAGGTCTGCTTTCACTGTGTGCTAATTGCCTATTTCAACTCCCAAGTTTCCCTGAAAACTTGAGTAAATACATTAGAGGAGAAGTGTGCTCTTCACTTCCATACACAAGTAGTATTACTCCCTTGCATAGCTGGTTTAACCTGGTTGTCCAGCTGTATTCACAGTCTGACTAACTGTAAAGTGCTTCAAATCCCTCTTAAACTAGCAAAAATATACCAGGCTAATAAGACTGTCCAGGTCTTTTTTTTTTTTATAAAGTAATAGTGTTAAAAACAAATGGCAGCTGTTGTTGCCAAAACTTAACCGAAAAAAAATAAAATAAAAAAATACTGTAGCAACATTAAGTTTTACAGATTAAACATTTTACATAAAAAAAAACATATTTCTTTAACTGAGATGATAGTGTACCAAAATACTAAAATCTGTTTTTTCTCTTTATAATTTGTTGACAACCACATGAAAAAAACAGGCGATTAAGGAAGTGTCAGATGGTAAATTAAAACTTATCACAAGTATAGCTTTTCCACAAGCTAAGATTGCCTATTTCAACTCCCAAGTTTCCCTGAAAACTTGAGTAAATACATTAGAGGAGAAGTGTGCTCTTCACTTCCATACACAAGTAGTATTACTCCCTTGCATAGCTGGTTTAACCTGGTTGTCCAGCTGTATTCACAGTCTGACTAACTGTAAAGTGCTTCAAATCCCTCTTAAACTAGCAAAAATATACCAGGCTAATAAGACTGTCCAGGTCTTTTTTTTTTTATAAAGTAATAGTGTTAAAAACAAATGGCAGCTGTTGTTGCCAAAACTTAACCGAAAAAAAAATAAAATAAAAAAATACTGTAGCAACATTAAGTTTTACAGATTAAACATTTTACATAAAGAAAAAACATATTTCTTTAACTGAGATGATAGTGTACCAAAATACTAAAATCTGTTTTTTCTCTTTATAATTTGTTGACAACCACATGAAAAAAACAGGCGATTAAGGAAGTGTCAGATGGTAAATTAAAACTTATCACAAGTATAGCTTTTCCACAAGCTAAGGTAAATACTAAAATATGGAAGGTGCATGTTGTCATAGACACAAATAATGCAATAAACATTCATTTAACAACATAAGATGTAACATAAAACCCTAATGTACAAATTAATTTGATTTAAAAAAAAAAGTTAAGAAACATAATTTCCATGAACCCCCCCCCCATCAAATATGAAAAATCTGGGAATGTCAATTTACAGTTTTTCACTGTTTTTTTCTTTTCCACTTCCAAAATATATACATTTAACAGTATTTTGATGTAAAATTATATGAAATGTCCCATTATATCTATTAGTTTTTCTCTGTATAGAGTACGGGAAACATTAAAACCTTTTTTTTTTTTTACCTTAGCATTTATAGTCTTTTACCATTAAATTTAGAATCATTTTTTATCGTTTACCATTTGACTTCACTGACTGTATTTTTACAGCTTTATAGTGCAGCATCACAAACTTAATCACTCTAATTATGCATCTGGGTTAGTCATATGGTTCACAAAATAATTAAAGCATGTTATGAGCTATGAACATAAGGGCTAATGTAATTCTGAGAAATAATCTGTGAATAGAGCAAAGTTTAAAGTGCTGTGATAAAAGTAGAGGAAGAGAGGGCAAAGCTACTGCTCAGTATAAATGTGACCATAATTTCATATTTTAGTAACCATGTTCTTTTGAAAGCACTAACCAAATCAGATAGTTGGATTTAAGATGGGGGAAAAAACAGTCTTCTTCAAATGGTGCCCTCAACCCTTGTGTTTCTTCCAAGGTTATGAAGTAATGAATTACAACTAATCACATTACTGTAATTAAGTATGTTAGTTGTACTTCAAGTTTTTCAAAAAGGGTGTACTTTGACTTGAGTATGTCTTAATGGTACTTTTATCATGCCATTTTCCTTCCATCTGTGTTTGTTACTTCCCTGTCAGTGTTGCCAGATCTCACTAAAATAATAAGTATCAGGTCTGACAAAAAGGCCAAAAATAAACAACTGTTTTCATTGTTGTGTGGGATAGGAGCTATTTCTTCTTTAAATAAGCACAGTGTGCAGTACAGTGTCAGAGACGAACGGTCATAATTATTTGAAATCTTATTTTAAACGATGCCTTCAATAACAGTTTATTTTATTCAAACTGAGTGTAGAAACTGGTATCTCTTTTGCTATTTACAGCTTTGGTAAATAAATGCTTCTCTTTTTATCAGGTGGAGTGGTTGAAAAATGAAGATTTGGTTCGCTCCCTTGGAGACGATAACATTGACACTCGTGCTGACCACAATCTGATCATCAATGAAGCAAGACTCTCTGACTCCGGCAACTACACCTGCCTCGCCAGTAACGTAGTCGCAAAAAGACGCAGTGCTACAGCTACTGTAGTTGTGTTTGGTAAGATGACACTGATTTGCTTCATTGTCTCCTCATGTTTGCTAAAATATTGACATTGACATTGATCGATCATTCAAATCAGACAGAAGGTGAAGATTGTGAAGACTGATAGGTAAGTGTGGGAAGTTTAAATTTGAAGGAATTTATGTTAGTTTATACAGTTTATTGTACAAGTAGTTAACAGCCGTTCTAAACTAGTACTGCCTTCAATTATTGTAGCACACACACACACACACACACACATACAGACAGTAGCTCGCACATCACAAATCACACACACACAGAAACAAAAGCTTATTGTCAATGCTGTCCTGTGATTTATCAATAAAGTTGCTTAGATACAGAAAAGTTTTAGCCAGACAGAAGGTGAAGATTGTGAAGACTGATAGGTAAGTGTGGGAAGTTTAAATTTGAAGGAATTTATGTTAGTTTATACAGTTTATTGTACAAGTAGTTAACAGCCGTTCTAAACTAGTACTGCCTTCAATTATTGTAGCACACACACACACACACACACATACAGACAGTAGCTCGCACATCACAAATCACACACACACAGAAACAAAAGCTTATTGTCAATGCTGTCCTGTGATTTATCAATAAAGTTGCTTAGATACAGAAAAGTTTTAGTGAAAATTTTATTTTGTTTTGAAGAAATTAAAACCCAGTGCTTCACTAGTAGACAGACGTTGCACAGACAGGCAGGACTAATTGACACGCAATCACGCTCTCACAAATGCATTCAAATAAATGTAATCTTACTGTGCTGCTCTATCGGTATCTGATTTAATGACTGATAAAATAACTGATGAAAATGTACTGTTGTTTTCTTCCAAACAAAATTTGCGCTGCAAAAAGCAACAATGACAGATTTGTTTTAATGCTGATAACCTAAGCATGGCAAATTGTTTAATGCACACCTACTTGAAGAAAATAAAATAACACAACATTATTTTATTTTTGTTTTTATCTTCTCAAATCTGCTATAACTGTTATAATCAAAGAAAAAATCTTGACCAAGGGTGCATTAGGTACTCACAGGCGTCAATCATGCAAATTTGCGCTGCAAAAAGCAACAATGACAGATTTGTTTTAATGCTGATAACCTAAGCATGGCAAATTGTTTAATGCACACCTACTTGAAGAAAATAAAATAACACAACATTATTTTATTTTTGTTTTTGTCTTCTCAAATCTGCTATAACTGTTATAATCAAAGAAAAAATCTTGACCAAGGGTGCATAAGGTACTCACAGGCGTAACTATGGGTGCTAAGGGACACTTTGGGAAATGCCATCAGCATGACCGGTTTCTGAAGCACATGTGAAAACACTCCAATCCCGTTGGCCCGCTCAGCCTGTGACGTCATTAGCGGAGCGCTGGAGTATAAAAGGGTGCCTGTAATGCATGTCATCAACTTATTTTGTCTTCAGGAGCCGTTTGTTTGCGCATGTGTAGGAAACACTCTGCAAAACATTTCAGTTAGTGCGTGCCTCCGTTTGAGGACCTGACAACATGCATGATTGATGCGTTTTGTGTATGAGTGAGGAAGGAGCGTGTACGTTCAGTTCTCAAGGGAATTGAATAATAAGCGTGAATGTGTGTTTGACTCAGGAGAGGCTAAATGCACACTGTGTGATGCGATCATGCTTAAAAATGCCTTGTATGCTTGATTCTCTTTTGAGGAATGAGAATTGAGCACCTACCACCAGTGGCTGTCGAGGCAGGCAGACCGATCACAGGGATTGTAGGTGGGGCATGGAAGGAATCCGACAGGAAGTGATTTCCCTTTAAGGAGTTCCTTTCTTTCTGTTCTCTCCTGAGAGACATTAATCAGCATTCGCACGAGCATGTCCGGGTTTCGATTATGGTGTTGCTTGAACTAGGCACGCTTAGCTCTTGAAGGGATTTAAATGTGTGTTGTTTAATGCGGTCACAATAATTGGTTCCACCCAGGCTTGACTCTCTCTCAAGGGATGAGAGTTGAGCTCCAACACTCCACGGTTCGGTTCCCGCGACCGCCATTGTGGTGAGGCGGGATCGAGCATGTGGGTTGTAGGTAGGGCTGTGACGGTGGCAGATTTTTACCACCACGGTGGTAATGGACCAACTACCGCCAGTGGCGCGGTGTTGATATAAATATATATATATAGGCCTATTTATAATTCATATTCTGTGGTTCGCTGGAGTCCCAAAGCTTTAGAAATGGCTTTATAACCTTTTCCAGACTGATACACTGTAAATAGGTTGCTGTAAATTTTACTGTAACTTACTGGCAGCTGGATGCCAGTAATGTACTGTAAAAAATGTTTACAGTATTAGTACTGTAATTGCATTTACAGTACAATAATGTCTTTACTGTATTTTATTTACAGTATTATTACCGTACGTTCATTTACAGTATAAGTACTGTAATTGCATTTACAGTACAATAATGTCTTTACTGTATTTTATTTACAGTATTATTACCGTATTTTCATTTACATTATCAGTACTGTAGAGTTTATCTTCATTTAGTTTAAAAAAAAATTACCTGTAAAAAACAATCCAATTGTGGTACTGCACTGTAAACCATGATTTTTACCATACCCAGCCACACCCCCCCTCCCCCCCACACACACACATAATAATAATAATAATAATATTATTTTTAATTGTTGAACTTTTTTTTTTTAAAAAGTACAAATTACAAATCTTGACCTCAGATTCAATAGCTTAAAAAAAGGGTATCACCACAGTCCCCTGGTGACTTTGTATCATGGAAAACATACACATACTGAAAAGCAAAAACTGGCAAGTACACTACCAGTCAAAAGTTTTTGAACTTTAAGATTTTTAATGTTTTTAAATTCTCTTCTGCTCACCAAGCCTGCATTTATTTGATCCAAAATACAGCAAAAGCAGTAATATTGTGATATTTTACTACTTAAATATACGTTCTATTTGAATATATGTTAAAATGTAATTTATTCCTGTGATCATAGCTGAATTTTCAGCATCATCACTCCAGTCTTCAGTGTCACATAATCTTTCAGAAATCATTCTTATATGCTGATAAACATTTTTTAATATTATTATCAATATTTAAAACAGTTGAGTAAATTTTTTTCAGAATAGAAAGATCCAAAGATCAGCATTTATCTGAAATAAAAAGCTTTTGTAACATTATACACTATACCATTCAAAAGCTTGGAGTCAGTATAATTTTTTTCTTTGGGAAAGAAATTATAGAAATTACTACTTTTATTTAGCAAGGATGCTTTAAATTGATCAAAAGTGATGATAAAGACATTTAGAATGTTACAAAAGATTTATATTTCAGATAAATGCGGTTCTTGGGAACTTTCTATTCATCAAAGAAACCTGAAAAAAAAATCTACTGTTTTCAACATAATAATACTAATAGTTTTCTGAGCAGCAAATCAGAATATTAGAATGATTTCTGAAGGATCATGTGACTGGAGTAATGATCCTAAAAGTTCAGCTTTGATCACAGAAATAAATTACATTTTAAAATATATTCAAATACAAAACAGTTATGTTAAATAGTAAACATATTTCAAAATTGTACTGTTTTTGCTGTACTTTGGATCAAATAAATACAGGCTTTGTGAGCAGAAGAGACTTATTTAAGAAACATTAAAAATCTTACTGTTCAGTAACTTTTGACTGGTAGTGTAAATAAAATACAGTAAAAATGAGTTTGTGGTGTTGTGTTAAATTTCAGTTATTTTGACAGTAAAAGTTGAAAATAAAATACAGTAAAAATGAGTTTGTGGTGTTGTGTTAAATTTCAGTCATTTTGACAGTAAAAGTTGACAAGCTCTCCGATGAGAAACAGCAGGATGGGATTCAGGCTGCACCCTCTTTCCAAAATTCCACCTGATCTGTGACTTTCAATGCATTTGGTGCCACAAATGTTGACCGTCTGAATGAACCTGTCAGGGAAAAACACGGATTCAATTGGCAGGTTCAACTCAAATTTGTTTGAAACACAAAACACGGCTGGGACTGCAGACCAGAAGCCGTAATTCAGGGCAGTGTTTAGAGACAGGAAGAGGGGAACAGTCCAAATGAGCCTCCAGTCACTCCATGAGGCAGAGAGGGTAAGGCGTAGGGAGATCAGCGCACACAGTCCCAGCGTCAGAGTGGAGAGGGAACCGCACACAGAGTCCAAGCGTCGGTACTGACGCAATGTCAGGGCAGAGAGTTCCTGGTAGAGTGCACCGAGAGGAGAGGCCGTGAAGCGCGATTCTGGTAATGCAAGGGCAGGAACTGGGGAACAGAAAACTGGTGAAATAAGAGGCAGAGAGCGAGCGGAAAAGACAAACTGAAAACACTAAACTACGGTGGCCGTAAAGTGCAAAGCAGATCACAATTCTGAAAACAAAATAACAAACTACAAACGCAAATGCAAGTCTAAAAAACAAAATAACAATTCAGAAAGCACAACAACAATTCAGAAAACATTATAACAAGTCAGAAAGCACAACGACAAATCCGAAAACAAATTAACAAGTCAGAAAGCACAACGACAAATCCGAAAACAAATTAACAAGTCAGAAAGCACAACGACAAATCCGAAAACAAATTAACAAGTCAGAAAGCACAACGACAAATCCGAAAACAAATGAACAAGTCAGAAAACACAACGACAATTCAGACAAACCGGAAAAGGTAGGTATAGTTTGAGACAGCGCCATTGGTTTGGGATTACTCACCGCTGACTGGACGAGACATCTGTCAATCAACGTATACAGGGAAGAACCAGCCGAAGAACAGCAGAGTCGTGGTAGAAAGTTCGGAGATGGTATTAAAGTAGCTCAGTTTAAATGTATTGTATGAATTGCCCTTACTGTGGGGTGTCTATTTACATTTAGTTAAAAGTGGCTGTGAAACATTAGCTCCAGTGGTGTAGATGGATAAGCACTTGCTCTTGGCTATTTGACGTGATCGACACAGGTTCGATTCTGCCTTTTGCCGAACTTTTTTTCCCTCCCTTTTCAAATCTCGTATTAGCAATGGAATCTATTTACATTACGTGAAAATAGCAGTATTTTTTAGCAATATGCTATTTACACTAAGTGCAAATACCTAGTTACACTATGTTAAAATAGCAGGATTTCTACTATCAA